TTCCCTCTGCAGTTTACTGCAAGACATGTAGGGGGCACAATAAAACAAAAGTAAGTTGTTCTGATCAGAGGGGACAAATATTGAAACCTTTGGCCTAAATGCAAAATGCTAGTTGCCTAAAAACAAACATGCTGAATATATAATCCTCATTACAAACCTTGTTGTGTCAACATCATGCTGTGGAGACACTTTTTTTTTTGGTTCTGGACAAATGGTTGATGACAAAATGATGATGCTAAATGCAGGTCTGTTGGTTTCCAATGAGAAATCGGACAGAATCCAGAAACTGTGGTGCTCTGTCTTTTTCTTTGTTTTTGTTTTTTTCTTTATGCAGTTCTTCAAACGTTTCATTCCGGTTCACAGCAATACATGCATGCAAACAACAGGAGAGAGAGTCACCTTCTGATCATAACCACCTGGCTTTTAAAGCATTGGCTCCTACCAGGACTAATTAAGGGGTGGAGACAACATTTATATTTCCATATAGAAAGACACATTTGTACTAGACTATATTCCTAGAAAAACATTTACACAATTACAATGAACTCTAACAACTTCAAAACTAAAACAAAAACAATCTGGGCCCAAACCAAATCCAAAAACATCTCCCTTCCCTCCCAAACGATGGATTTTCCCAGTGAGGCTGGTTGAAAACACCAGGTCCTTGTCAGCACTGTTCATGGGCGCGCTTTCATGGCAACACACGACCAGGTGACCTCAAAGAAAAGAGAGCATGATTAAAACAAAATATTACATAAGGCAAGTTACTGCCTCCAAACAAAAGCAATACATTTACCAGATAAATTAGAATATAGGAAGTGCAAAAGACAGCAACTGTTAGGGAGGGGGTAAATCCCTCACAAGGTCAATCCTGGAAGACAACTTGTTGGAGAGCACAAAAGACTTGAGACGGAAACATATAGGTTCAACTTCCAACAGAACTGCTACCATAAATGTACAGCTAAGACCTACAATAGAGTCTTTAGGTCAAAAGTGAAATTCAAACCTTGCTTAATTACTCAGAATGTCTTACAATTTAACCTTTCAGATTATTACATTTTAGTGACCCACATCTCATGTGTTGAATTGTGTTCAACTTTGCTTAGAAAAGGAATCTGGCCAAAGTTAATTTCCTCACTTTGAGGAAATGTTTTGGGGGGAAAAAAATTACAGTATCAAGGACAAGTTATAAACCATATCAGTTAAGACACTGAACACATTGAGCAAAAAATATATATATTTATATATATGTATATTTATTTATTTAAACCCTATTAAGAAATAGAAGCAGTCAGACAAAACTCTAATCTGTTGTTCTGTTGCAGTCTAATCTGTTGTTCTTGTAGCACTGCACACATTCTTCTGGAGAATGATTGGACACACTAATGCAAATATGAAGCTTCATAATATGACATGTGTGAGTTATTAATGAAGAGCAATAAGAACTAAAGTCACCCATTTTGGTATAGAAAAAAAGCTATTTAATGTAGTTTTAATGCAGCCTGCCAGATACAGGTGGAATGTTCAAAAACACAAATGTTGCATTTTTATGGTTTCTGAGGTTATCTTGTGTAAAATAAAGGACGGTTTTTAATTGCAAAACTTTACATAAAATTAATTGTTAATAGTCTGCAACTCATCACTTTAGATGTGACAGAGATAGCATTTAGGTTGTGCTCTTACCAGCATTACATTCATCATTACATTAGTATCTCCTCAAAAAGCCATTTGCCCCACCTTTCTACTTTTTTCAAACTTCCGGCTACCTATGATAAAGAACTATTTTACACCTTAATACTCTGCAGATTGCTAGACTCCAGCAAGTTCAGGTGAATAGTGATACGGATGAATGAAATGCTGGGTGAGGTTGTCCTGTATTAGAATAAGTTGTCTTTCACTGCTAAAGAGAGAATAGACACTTAAGCCTTGCAGGGAGGACTGACAGGTTTGGTGGAAATAGGAATAATTCTTGCAAAAACAACAACAACAAAAAATCCAGACTTTCTGCATTGTTTTGCAATATGGTAAAGGTCTAAAGCATGCAGAGTTTGGGCAGGCTGCCTCCCTCAAAAATATTGAAGTTCAGCCAGGTTTAACAGTCTTTATGAGTCGGCAAAAGTAGTCTGTAGCTTTTTTTTTTTTTTTTTTTTTTGCATATGAAAAAGTAATACAGATACAACTGTTTAATGTGGCGTCAACAATAAACATAATGAACCATGTTCACACTCCAAAAAGATACATGTTAGGTTTATTACACACTCTTAGTTGCTCTTAGTTGTGTGTGCTCATGACTGCAGGTGTCTGTGACAGATAGGTGACTATGTTAAATGATGCCTCTCACCTATTCACTGCTGGACACAGGCACCAGCTCACCAAGACCTGGTATGGTTTAACCAGGAGAACAGCAAATAAATAAGCTGACAATCCCTCAATAAGTATTACAAGATCAAACACTGCTCAGATGACAAAGAAGATAGAGTAAAAGATGAAAATAGTAAAAAGTGGTGCTCTGACATGCCAGCATTAGATTGAAAGCACATCCAAACGATGCCTCCAAATTCCATGACAGACTGATGTCAATTTTTTTTTTTTTTAAATTAATATCAGAAAAACAAATGGCAGGAAATGTTAGTGTGGAGTCAGACAATGCTTCCTAAAAAGGCTTAATTTAGGGATATTGCAATAGAAAGTGCCAAGGTGCGTGAGAAACTGTCTCTGGTTCTGATTTGCATTGCACAAGACTTATTCAACTGGTTTAATTGATAAAATTCTAAAGGATTTGTGAATTTAGCGTGGAGAAGTATAAATGTAGTGTGCTATCACCCTTTCCACTGCTGAATCAGCTGCAGAAGCTGTTGCTACAATAGCACATTCTTCAGAAATAGCACAAGAATCAAATGTGAAGCTGAAAACTAGCTAACACACCCACCTCTGGTCACTTGTTAGTGGTAAATAGACCTGTATCCACATAACATTGGAATGTGAAGTGATATGCAATGCTAGAAATTTACCTAAAAGGGATCTTAGTCAGTGAAAAAAGTAGAATGGAAGTCTGAGGAACACACTGTAGCAGAAGCAAGTCAGAAGTAAGAGTAACAAGGTGGCAGTAGTCTTAGTAGCAGTGTCTATGATATATATATATATATATATATATATATATATATATATATATATATATATATATATATCTCAAATCAATGGGTGTATTTTTGTAAACTAAGTTACTGATAAACTAAGTTACTGATGTTAGTTTTAGATGGGGATGAAAAGTATGAACAAAACAAGAAAAAACAAACAAGAGTATAAAAACTGTCTTTGTTTTTTGTTTTTTAAAAACAGCATAAAAAGCAGAAGGAGCAAAATCTAAGTTTGGTTGTAAAATAGATTTCTGATGATAAAACTCATTTGATTTAATAGACAATAAATGGAATAAAGAACAATTTGCTATGTGGTGACTTGTTAAATGCAGTCATTTTGTGTGCTGGGACTTGATTGTGTTAAACTGGGTAACTCTACAAATTCCCAGCTAAGGGTTGAAATATCTTTGGAGCCTTTTAGTATTCTTTACTTTGTTGAACTCACTCTCTGACAGAACAGGTTTATGGACAGCTGGTTATGTATCTGCTCAAACCGCTTGAAGTCAGCATGGTAATATACATAGGTTTTGACTTCTCACAAGAAATCTAAGATCTTCCCTTTAGAAAACTGGAATAGAAATACAAGATGTAAGCTGTATGTTCTAATGCAGCTAGCAATAAATTCTGGTTGAGGCCAGAGCAAAATGTTCTACTATCAGGGTTAATTGTTGCACCAGTCCCTCCTACTGCAAGATACCCCTAGAACTTGATCGCTGTTCTTCATAGGATGGTATTTTCAGGCTTGCAAACTTCTTCCCCTTTTGTCTAAATGGAACTATTATAATTACGCTTCAGTTTATGTTTTATAAGATCAGAACATGTATCTAAAATAAAAAAGTATATTTTTTGTGAGTGTAATTGCAAACTGTGATGTGATTATTTTGCTATTGGAGTAAAGACTTTTTTCACACTCAGTGGCTTTTCAGCAAAAAATGGGTACATCACTCAAGCCACTATTATTGTTGGTTTTAATAAATGGGATGCATGTTAAATTGCACTGTGTGCAGACAATAGAGGGAACATAGTGCAACTATATGTTGCATAATTAGTTTTAATAAATGGGAAGCATGCTAAATTGAATTAGGTGCCTGCCAACAATAGATTAGTCTCTTAAATTCAATTGAGTCCTGTGGAGGGAGCTGATGATTAGGGCATTATATAAATCACAAAGATTTACAACACACTGATTTCCCATTTCCTTTTCCCCCTCACTCTTATAATCTTTATCTATTTTTGAATGTTCTCTGTAATGTCTGCACCCAGTGCAATTTTGCATGCTTTCTATTTCTGTAAACCAATTTTGGCAACAGGAAATACTTACAACAGAAAAGAAAAATGTTTCCCCCTGCTGTTCAAATGTAGACTATTTATTTCCCGATATAGTGTACCTACAGGCCATAATCATAATAGACACAACTAGGACACAAGACTGTACCAAAGTACTTTACTGTGTTCTAAACTGTATAGCCATATTCCCAGTTTCCTTTTTCCCACGTGTATTTTTATTCTGCGAACCCTCGTTTGATCATAATCTTTGATTCTACAATGACATTAATGGTAACTGGCGTGGCTTTGACGTTTGTTTCTTTTCTTCAGAAGAGGAGAAAGGAGGAAGAAAAGCGCCGACGTCACAAAGGGTCTCACACGTGTTGCTGCCTTCATGGCCAAATTGAAGCTCGGAAATACGACAAACTATTGACATTGGCGCATTTAATAACATCCCTTTAAAAGTTCCGAAATGCCAACATCAATTTTGGAGACAAACTAGCGATTTGCGTCATAACTTTTCTCCATGTGCTACATATACGTGAGAACTGGCGCTGGTGACGACAGAGACGTCTGAGATTTACGATAGTACATAAAAGTATCAACACCCAAAGCAGGTTCCGTGAAGGGGAGGAGAGGATATTCATTTGCGCTTTGTCTCCCAACAACATCACTGTCTGTACAGTAGGGCAGACTTACTTTGCTATAATAAATTATTACCGAGGTGATTTAGCAACCGGGTCAAAATGCTCCAGTCTCTAGCCAGCAATTCTTGTGTGCGTTTGATACAGAATCATAAATCGACGTGGTATTTCGTATCTTTAATATTGGGCTATCTCCTTTATCTCATATTCGGCGCCGTCGTCTTCTCGTCGGTCGAACTACCGTACGAAGACCAACTGCGTCAGGAGCTGAGGGCCGTCAAAAAGCAGTTCCTCTTGGAAAATGAGTGTCTGTCCGAGGAGCGACTGGAGCGGTTTTTAAAGAAAGCCCTAGACGCCAGTAATTATGGGGTTTCTATTCTCAATAATGCCTCGGCTAACTGGAACTGGGACTTCACCTCTTCGCTGTTTTTCGCCAGCACGGTGCTGTCCACCACAGGTAGGTCACTGCTGTATGATGCTTTGTAGTCACTGTCCTCCAGGTGCGCAGCAGAATCTACGGAGTCATCCTCACGTAATATGTCTGTTTGACTTTAAGTACATCATACAGAACCCTTAAGTGTTGCCATGTTGGTAATAATAATAATAAATATATAGGCCCTATAGTAAAATGCATTTAATGTCAATTAATTATTAATCTTCATTCAAATTTTGCATCTATTTTACAAAACAGAAAGCCACTTTAAGACAGAATTTGGCCTGTATTACAATTTTTGTCGTCTTCTTTTACCAAACACTTGGCAGTTGCATTTTAAATGATAACCTTTTTAAAGACGTGTCCTCCAATTTAGAACAGGAAATGTACGCTGTCATACTCCACATGGCTGCAGCAGTTATTTATGGTTGCAACATACAATCAGAATGATATATCCTGTGGTAATAGTTGTCTGGGTTCATAACATTGTGATTTTATAGACTGATCTGTGTAATGCAGAAGTCGGTCTAATCTCTTCCATTTTTATATTGATAAATTATTTTGACCTTTTGTTACTGGAAATTAGACACTCTTGGCTTGTAATTTGTGCACTACAGTTTTATTACAAAATGCACCTCACTTCAATAACTTAGGGGTATTTTAAAAGCTACACCTCAGAAAAGCATGTAAAGCTTACGATGTCGTACTTTTGCACCCACATTACAACATGGCTTCAAATCTGATCTCAAAAGAACATCAACCTAATCCTGTCTAAACCTCAACTTCATTTCGTAACTACTTATTTTCTCAAATAACAGTGTGACTTAAACCTGTCACTGCTCATGTATTTTTGGGATTTTTTTTAGTTGACCTTCGCTAGTATAAGATCTTCACGGCAAAACCTTGAGCAAAACTGTCACATTTTAACAGTCAGATGGTATCTATGCACACATTTAAAACAAAAAAATATGCAATATTCCAACTGTTTTTCTTTCAAACAAACAAAAAAACAGCAATAAGCCTTACCATTACTACAATAATATATTAGTCGATTGCTTCTGGCAGGCAGAAAAGAAAACTGTTCACTTTCTCCTGGAATGTGAAAACTGTTCACATTCCAATCCTGTGGCTAAAGCTTCCTATCCAATCTGTCTGTGGTGAAATGTTTCTGTTGAGAATGGGAAAACTGGTCAGAGAAAAGGTTTGGAAACTCACAGAGTCACACCCATGGATACCGGAGGTGCCCATTGCTCACTGAATACATATGCAAGTTATCTACTTGGTTGACTCGTGACCGTCCAAGAGCACAAGCGAGAGAGGGTGTTTTTTTTTTTTTTTTGGTGTATTAGAAATATTTCAAAGCAGAAATTTTACCTTTCATTTGGAATTAGGACAGGAGAAATCCAGTTGATAGACAGTGCACAGCAACATGAGGTGGAGGGACTGGTTTTGCATTACCATTATTTCTTCTGGCAGCCAGAAAAAAAAAAGAAACATTCTCTTTCTCCTTTGTCGTAATAGTAGGACTTTGTAATTCTTATGATTAAAAGTTGGACCAAGTTAAATGAATATCCAAATAAAATTGTAAAAGGTGAGTTGCACATAAAGAGGAAAAAAAACTGACTTAGAGAAATATATTCTTGACAAGTGAAAAGTAAAATCCAGTGCTAAAGTATGAAGTCACAATGTCATACAAATTTATAAGGGTGCCATTAAATGTGTCCTAACAGGCCCAATATATCACTCTAACGTGTAGCAGTTATGACTACCTGGTAACTTCCTGGTTCTGGTTCCTTTCTGGATATGGTTTAATCTTACAGAAGAATAAACATTGGTGCAGCTGTGCACCAGTCGGACCTCTGAAACCAGAAAAGCTAAATGGAAGTGATTCTTCTCTTAAAGGACGATAACCCTTGGGGAGATTTTCAAAAAACACCCAAATCACTCTCAGGCTTCTAAAAAAAGATTTGATTCGGTTTAGTACATGAGTTTTCTTCTCACATGTGGAATCCTATTAATACTATCCTTACAGGTGTTAGGAAAATAAAATTAAAATATGCTAGTTTTTAAACTTAACCATATGTACAATATTACATAAAATCATCAGCGTTTTAAAATAAGAACATTGGGTTCCAAATTGCCTATATGTTACTTTAGGTTTAATGCAGGAATCTGTTTTTTTAATGAATCGCTCAGAAACGGATGCTAGGCAGTTCAGATAAAAAAACAGGATGGAAAAGACAAGTTCTGTCTGTTCACAATCAAATTCTTTGGTGATTGTCTAGGGGTAAGGAAGACTCTTAAAACCTGGAGAAAAACAAAACAAGGTCAAAGTGAAAAATAAATCTCTTTCTGACAACTGGGGTCTTTGTTCAAATATTCAGAAAGGGAGGAACAGGAGATTCCAGATGTAGCTGACATGAGAAAATCCTGTTTGAAAATCCTGTGTGCTCTCTCTGACTCTTAATCACACTGGACCTTTGCACTTTCTCTCTCTTCATCTTTGGTTATTGAATAGGTCTCAAAGAAGGTGACAAAATCATTTAGACCATCCCATCTAGGTAATTTGAAACTGCTTAGAGGTTGAGAAGGAGAGGACACACCTTCAATGCATATGTTAAAATGAGGACTACACCTCTTAATAAAAACCTTCACTTCACAGAAGCAAATCGAATTGCTTTGTTTGCAGCCGCACAAGCAGTTCCCAAAGGCGCCTTTGCTTTTTCTCTTATTTTTGTATTTTGTTCATTTTTCTACTTTTCTCAGGTAATTAATGCCTGTTTTATGGTTTGGACTTCTCGATGGTTTGGGTGTGATGCTGATCTGTTTTTCTGTGCATTTAATTGTCTGAATAAAACCCTAGATATGTCTGAAGTTGCATGGCGACTGGTTGCTCTCTGTGTGGTTTCCACTTTGTACATGCGGAGCCCTGAATTTGGGACACTAGAGGAACATTTTATTCCTCTAATTTAACACAGGTAAAAAAAAAAAAAAAGTAGGTAAACAGATGTTCTATGAAAGGGCCTTAAGTTTAAACAAGATGGTGGGGAGAGTGCAGCCTTTTCCACAGCTCTCAGAAACTTAGACTGTTAGACCAAAGGTTAACATTTTTTACAAGGCAGGAATTCAAATAGTTCGACTTAGAAAATAGGTACTGTGAAAAGGAAGTAAAGAAGAAGCCAAACCTGAAATAAATAGTTTCTAAGGGAATTGAAATTTTCTGTGGTTCTTCATTCCAACTCTGCTGCTGAAACTTTCCACCCAACCTGTCTGACTTCAGATGCTTTTGTTGAGAATTAGAGAACTGGTCATAGAAAGAGTTTGTGAAACTTGCAGAATGAGACACCTGAAAACCTGAGGTGTTGCATTGCTGGTTTTATTAAGTGCTCATTGAATACATATGTAAATGTATTATCTTCCTACCTTCTTCATATTGCTTCTTGAAAACTTGAAGGAATTGAATACTTTCCACCAAAACTATGTATCGGAACACAATTACTGGACACCGAAAATAAACTGTGCTCTCTTGTTGCTGAAGCAAACTTTTATGCTGATTAATATTCTTTGTTTCAACAGGTTACGGTCACACAGCACCGCTGTCAGATGGCGGCAAGGCCTTCTGCATTATTTACTCCGTGATTGGCATCCCGTTTACCCTCCTCTTCCTCACTGCCGTTGTGCAAAGGATCATGGTCTTCAGCACTCGGCGGCCCATCACGTACATCCACACACGGTGGGGTCTGTCCAAGCAGCTTGTGGCCATTGTTCACGCCACCCTACTGGGCATGTTGGCCGTCTCGTGCTTCTTCCTCATCCCGGCGGCCATCTTCTCTGCTCTGGAGGAGAACTGGAACTTCCTGGAGTCCTTCTATTTCTGCTTCATTTCACTCAGCACCATTGGCCTCGGAGACTACGTACCCGGAGAAGCGGCCAATCAGAAGTTCAGGGAGCTGTACAAAGTGGGCATCACTGGTGAGTGCTGATGAGAGGGTGGTAGTGGTGTTGCATAGCTGATGCATCTGAAACTCTTAGTCCTCTGTTTTTGTGTCAGTGGTAAAATGTAGAGTCATGATGTTAATTATTATGTTAATCTGACTGATAACTAGTTGTTTTTTTTTACTATTACTTTCAGTTTTATTCGGGTTTGTATTTTTAAACCACATAAATACTTTGATTTACCTCTAAGGCTCTTTATAGAAGAGTAGATACACTATAAAGGCCATTTTTACTTTACTTTTTTTTTTTTTACAAAAAAGATAGTTTTGTTGTGTTATTAGCACACTGGCAACAAAATAAACACGATTATTACATAAGAAATCACTCAACAGAATATATCTTTTAAATAGAAAAATCCAGTCCTTGTCTAACCCAGTGTGGTCAATTTGCCTGATCAAAAAAGAAATGGGAAAAGATAGTATTTTGATGTATACTTGGAACAAGGCTGCACGGTATTAGAAAATCTTGCAAAGGTGATAATATTAGTAAATAATGCAACGATGACATCAGATGCAATATCTGCTTATTTTATTCTTTTCACTCCTTCTCCTCTGACCTTTAGCTTTTTGTGCAATTCAATTAGTGTCCAATGTGAGCATCTGCTGCCGTGAGACTCTGTCCAACCAGCTAAATATTACATTAGCATCATGATGCACCCACCGCCATGTTCACTGTGGCTGTGGTAGTCTATTGGTTAGGTTCGGTGTTCTCTTTTTGTCAAATTTAACGTTAGGAATTGTGCTCTAGAGTTCAAGTAAAGTAAAACTAAGCCCTTGTTTTCTTTTAACATCTTTTCAATAATGAACTTGTAAGATAAATTCATCTTAATGGTAAATTGTGGAAAGGTGAATATTAATAAATGCAAAGTCTGGTTATGCTGTAAATGCATCCCAGAATCCTTAGCACCCATAATGTTAAACCTTTTACCTGCAGTGATTCACTGAATTCTTCTTTGCTTGCATTGGGTGAATATAAAACCACTAAAATCCCATTAAAATTGAGTCGTATTACATAAAATATCTAGAGTGAAGTACTTTCATTTTCTCAAGTTAGGCATGCAGGATGAAAAGTTCCATTTTATGACATCTAGATGATTTTATGATGGTGAGCTTCGACCTGCATACGTGGAAAGCAATCAACTAGGTCATCTTCTTGACCTGTGTGTGAAAGCCGCATTAATGACGTTCGTTCTCTGTTATATCACCATAAACATGCAGCAAGTACTAAAAACAGGGATCACAGACAAAATGAGTTATCAAAAAAAAACGACCAAATCAGAGGAAACAAAAAGCAAATATCACATTTAACACAGGACCAAATTGTCATTACTAAAGCGTGAGTATAGAAGAGAGGTTCAGGCTGACTTTTCATTAGTTTTGACCTGTCACCTACAAAGAGTGTGTTTTCTGTGGGTGAAATAGGTATGCTTATTTGTTCTATGTCAGTGCTACAGTGTTTTTCAGATGTCATAAAGAAAAGACTGATACAACTGAACATGAAAAAGTACTTAAAAGCAATTATAACAATTAAATAATGCTGATAAGTAGAGCTGTCATAGTCTCGTGCAAGTCATGATATCAAAATATACCAATGTTCTAAGAAGTTACTTCCGCGAAACTGCTGTAAGATGCATAGATTAGCGATCAGAAATATTTCTGGTCCTTGAAAACACAGCTTACTGGCATCCTAGATCAAAATGATCTTACATGTGTTATAGAAACCATGTCTCTGCAATATTTATATTTTTTGCAGCTGTAGGAATAATTGCTACTTTTTTGTTTCAAATAAGAGCAGTTAGATATTTTAAATATTCGCATAAATATCACAATACCCTGTAATTGAGCAAAACTAAATTTAAGTGCTACTGCACTTTTTTTTTTTTTTTGCATGTTTGCTTGTTGCACCTTTTTACTAATTAGGGGTTGAAAAAAAAAAAAATTCATTTACATTAAGAATTTAGAAACAAGGTGTAGTAGCTGGAATGTGTGGTTATTCTCACATTTTTTCATGACAGCTGATGAGAATTTCTGCTGGAACCCACACAACTGCAGATTTCTAAACAAAATACAGTACACAGCTCATTAAAAGTGGCGAGTAGTTGCTGAGAAAGCAGCATCTGACATTTCCCTGTGTGTTTCAAACCATAACAAGATGGTGCTGTACTCAAACTGGGCCGTGGCCTACTGGAGGCATTGAGGCATGGCCCGCATTTTCCAGGAGACTCGCACAGCTTGCTGTCAGTGGCCCTGTTAGGGGCTAATAGTGCCTTGAATAAAACTCAGTTTGAGAGCGCGGAGTCTTGACAAGCTGTGGGTGTGCACAAATGCCAAGAGCTGCTGTAGTGAACAGCCTCCGACATGTGTGACGTGGGTGTGTGGCGCGCAGCAGCCAGAGAGGTGACGTCAGTCAGCAGGAACAATGTGTCAGTCTGTAGGAGGAGGAGAAGTCTCCAACAGAACGCACTTGTTTGCAAAAAATAACATCAGCTGTACAACTTCCTTTAGGCAAAACGAGTGTAGGAAGTGACATCACCTGTATTTGCATAAGCACTATGTGACCCTGGATTAAAACAGTTTTGTTTTGTTGCTGCCTGTGCTGACAAGCAGTCAGTGCTTTCTCAATCAGATACAGACATCAGGCCAACAAGAAACTCTCACAAGAATACAGTTGTTGATGAATCGACAGATTTTTCAAACTTTAAGTTCAGTAATGTTAATACAGATGTATTCAATGCCTAAACACACCTGAAAACAGACTTGGGGCATAGTCTGTAGACTGTCAAGAAAGGCACACCCTCGTGTCCTAATGTCATGGATAGCTAACTACTGCCCTCTTGTGGTAGTGTAAAAAGTAACAGATTTTGGGAATGTTGAAACATGCAAATCTCGCTTCGACGCTTCTTACTCTAATTACTTGTTGTAATTACTTCTTGCGTTTCTCTCCCCAGTTTACCTCATTCTGGGTCTGATAGTCATGCTGGTGGTGCTGGAGACCTTCTGTGAGCTGCAGCAGCTGAAGCAGCTCAGGAAGATGTTCTACCTGAAGAAGGAGAAGCCCCAGGACCGCCTCGCCATTTTGGAGCATGACCACCTCTCCTTCACCACCGTGTCTGACAACACAGGCGGCAAGAACGAGGACAAAGCCAAGACGTTTGTCAGCGTCCCGACTCTGGTCTCTCCCAATGATGATCCAATGATCCAGTAAAAAAAAAAATGACCACAAAGGATAATGGAGGGGAATAAAAACGAGGAGATTAACTCATAGTAGAAGACAGCATGAGTAAGAACCAATCATGGCTTTAGGTAAATTGTAGTCAAAGCTAAAATCGTTTAGGTCTGCAGAGATCAAGCAAACAATGCCAACTACAAAACCACAAAACTGACAGTAGAGATAGTGTTATGCAGCAGAGAGTTTATCTACATAATAAAAGTGAAATTAATATTTTAACAGCAGCTATAAATACAAAGTCAGTGATAAAAGGAAAGTCCTCTGCTGTATTTATGACTCACAAAAGCTAAGCGCCTTTAAAAGCTACATTATTTATGGTACACTTAGGAATTTTTGATGAAGTAATTCGTCTCTTACGACTAGTACGACTAACTCGAAGACGGAAAACCTTCCGCCACAAATTAGGACATAAGCATATATGTGTCTTTTAAATAGAGTTTTTTAGACAGGTCTTTGTACATAATCGGGAGAATGTTTTAAATGTAGGGTATGAAGTCAAAGCAGAACTTTACCTGCTATCTAAACAACAATTGCTGATGCTGTATCGTGGCCTGTTTTGATTCTTTTTGATTTTGGGGCATTTTTTTTTTTTTTATTTCTCTGATTGTAAGCTGCTGAAACAGAGAGCTTTACAGACCCATTGTAGATGTCAGTATTCATTTAATTATTGATTTTTAAAATAAAAAAATGTGGGTCGCGCAATTGATTCAAAGAGTTACATAAGGACTGGTTTATCAGTTTTATTTGCCGTAAATTTGCTATTGATCAAAAGGTAGCGGAATATGTTTAAAAATGTAACTTGGGGAGCTGCTATGTAAGAATATCGTTCATATTTCGAGGCATTTCTGGGTCTTCCTTACAGTGGCGTTAAGTGTTTTGTGCAACCTCATTGCAGCGCTGTTCTCAAAATTGCTCATGTGTAAAGCGGTGCAAGTCACTGATCCATCTGAACGCTTTAATGCGCGCTTGACTGTGTGTACAAAAAGGACGCCGAGGTTTGTCGAGCTTGTTGAGGGAGTTGCAGGAAGTTAGGTTTGCACATGAGCAACATTCATTCGGAATTCACACACTTTGAAAGATTCTGTTTAATAAAAGGGATTTGAACTGTAGATTTCACTGTATTTGTAACATTTGAATGTAGAAACGCCTGCTTTTTGTTTATGACTTGAGAAACGTTTACAAATTGCTTTGAATGGCAGAAATACTGTACCAGAAATGGCACCTTTGAAAACTTGAAATCCGTCGTGGGGCAGCAGCTCTAATTACTTGCCGCAGCAGTTTTGCTTCAATGCTTCACATATAACAAAGGCCTTTGTTTGATTCTAAAACAATTCTGGCACCTCGTCATCCATCCTCAGATTTTTAGCTTCTTGTTGACAGAGTTAGTCTTTTCATGCACCTGTCCTGACGTTAGCAGAAAAATAGATGCATTTACAGAGAGTTTCAATGCTATTTTTGTCATGGTGAGGAGTTTTGTTTCATCTCATATCACTCCCTGGTTTTAAGCTCTTGAATGTAATGTATTTATCTTTTTTTCCTCTATGTGAAGAATTGTCAGTTCAGTTTTCTTGCTGGAAGTGGAATTTATTTTTAGATGTCTTCTAAATTTAATCTTCAAAATGTTATCATTTGAGTTTCTTTCTGAGTTTTGACTGCAGTGTTTAAAGGAATATGACTGTAATTGCTATCCGGATTAGTTACTGTTTCTCACAGATTGCATCAGCGGGAATCGACATTCTCATTATGATGTAATGCTGCATCGGTGCTTGCTGTCTGGTGTATAAGCACGCTTTGCAACAAATGGAGTTATTTTCTCGCTTGGGGCAGAGTGATGAACTTCTTGCATTGCTTTTTCGGGTGAAGGAGAAACAACCTGAGGGACTCTGGTAACTTTTCTGCCGTAAACCATATTAAGGTTGAAAATGTTCCCATCAAGTTTCAGTTGTCTTTGCAATAACTGCTTTTTGAGTCAGTATGTTACGTTTTCTGTTAGTTTGAAAATGTGCCTGGCTTTTTCTGAACTCCATCCATTCCATTTAATGTTTTTCTGATGAAGGTTTAAATTTTTTTTCTTACCATTCTGGGCCTTTGTGAACTACTGTGAAAGATTGGCTGTCTGCTGAGTAGAAAAACTTACATTTTGTAACTCTAGTCTCTTTTACTGTATAATGTCTGTCTGTAGCTACATTTCTAGCTCAATGTTTGTTAATGTCTTGGATCTTGCAAAGTTGTTGTTGGCATATACTTTGACTAGAAGGCAAGAAGGGAATGAAATTTCAGTTTCTATCAGGGATTAAACATCATGTGAATGATTCCAGATGGAAACCCTGAGTTTTTATTTATGCTGAGAAAACTGACACGTTTGGAATATTTGCAACCATGAGCTTTTGTACATATTTTTTCAGTCGATGTCAGTGATACTGTATATTAAAATGCACAGTTAAGTATTATATTGTTACAATATTAATCATTCAAAACAAGACTGTCACTGGATCCCAGAGAATCATTTCAGCATAAGAAAATACACTGTAAAATGTAAAAAAAAAATTGTTCATGTGTCTGAAATAAAATGTTGGATTAAAATAACCAGAGTATTTCTTGAATCTGTAAATCTTGGTAATTTAGAATGTCCTTCAAAAATGGAATTAAATCTAAAAAGTGCAAGACATAATATAATTATACAGAATAATACTTCAAGAGCTTCAGTGAATTTTAGTGGTTATCACTTACAGCTAATAAAGCCAAATGTTCAGTTTCTGAGAGATTAAAAATTACAACTTTACATATGACAAATCATATTTTTGATGATGTTATGAACTCCACAATCACAAAGAACACGACTGACATCATCCACAACAAATTATTACACCGGTGTCCTTGAGTGCCAGAAAGGCGCCTTTGAAATAAAATGTATTATTATTATTATTATAAAAAATTATTAAAATATAAGCTGGATGATTGCTGAATTCTGTCTGCTTGCACAATACTGGAAAGTTGAGTGGAAGGAAAAAACTTAGAAGAGAGGTTAGCACAGCCAACGGATTATTAAAAGAAACCCCAAATCAAGTGCTTTTATTGGACGCTACACAGTGATGCTTTCACATAAACAGAACTAAAGTAAATTTTTATTAATCATATGTAAAGTTGTTTTTTTCTTTTAGGGTGCTTAGGGGGGTGACATACTTTTGAGATTTCACTACATGTAAGTCACAATCATCAAAACAAACCTAAATAAACACCTCAATAAAATATGCCACTCTGTGTCTAATAAATTTGTAAATTATGAGTTTAATTTTTCAGAATTTAATTACTGTTATAAATCAACTTTTAAACACATCCCAGTGCCTTCAGATTCTCCAATATTTATTCGTCTTCTCTCCCAAGCTTCCACCATATGGTAAGAAGATGGAGACACTGGCTGATCATGTGTTAACTCAGTGGAAATGTGGTCTGATTGCAGTGTCAGCTCGTAGACACACGTGAGATTACATAACTTGAATTTACCAGAAAATGTAGGAAAGATGAAGAAGGCTGAAACACAATCTAATCTACGCACAAGTGTCAACTGAAATGAAAGAAAATAAAGCATGAATAATGATAATGAAAGTGATTATCTGCAGAGACTTGCTAAGAAAATACCCTGCTACTTAGATGAACTGCTTAAGCCTCTCGTCTCTTTGATTTCCAAAAAGAAGGTGGAGGTTCAGAATATCTTTGTGCAGTAATTGAAGTTGGAGAGCTCAAACATCCCAGTCAGTAATTAACTAGAAGATATTTTGTTTTTCCCTACAGCATTAAAAGAAGATCAGACACAGTTCTTGATAAGGCTGTTCAAAAATAGTCGAGAAAGAACTAAATTGGCACTACAGGACAATATAAAGAGAAGCTAGCATGAACAGAAAACACAATTAAACTTAATACATTTAAAAAAAAATCATGGTTTTTGATCTTGAGTCATGCCCATCACTCACCTAAACACAGAATTTATTGTGTTTTGCAGCTCCAGGGGCACACAGTGTCGAACACAGGGAAGTAAATTTAATAGTGCAGCGCTTTTGTTTTATTCAGAAGCTGTATTTCTTATCGCAGAAGAACTGTAATTACCTCTGACATGCAGGCACTTCTCCCCGCAGAGCCACTGAGCCGACGTCCATATTGTCAGGTTTTATGGGGGGGAAGCAGCTCAGACGCTTGCTAGCAGAAAGTAATTTTATTGGATGCATGTAGTGAAACAACAATTACCAGTAATTGGAAATAACTGTAAGAAACGTTGCCAGGTCGTTTAACGTACAAATGGACAATGTTCAGAACCGGCACAAGGGTTGCCACATTTGCTTATTTCCAGCAGCAAATAACAATATGATCAGAGCAAAAATAATTTCCTGCTATTTTCTATTTTCATTACTCACAGGCTTTCCTCGGTACAACTCCAAGCTAATCTGTGATTATGTCCCCGTGTGTATGTTTGGAACAAAGTGGTTCGTTGTTATGTGACAAAATGAGAAAAGGTTCAAGGGGAATGAATATTTTTCCGATGCTCTGTATAGCTCAAATATCTGCAGTTGAAGTCAAAACTTCTTTTTATGCTTTCACTGTTACAGTATTCCAACGCAAACACAGACAATCGGCACAGTTACGACTGAGCTGTTGGTCTGAAACGTTACAGACTAGACTGATTCATCTCATCTACTGAGGAAAAACACATCGAGAGCTCATCGTTGTTAATGTTGCTTCGTCATCTTTCTGGTTGATGCGAGTCCTATAAGCCGTCCTGAAGAAACACTTAAACGCCACAAACTGCCCCGAAAGGAATAAAATATTACACCCCACGATTTTGAGATTCATTAACGATCCTTGTTGTGGGTTATAAAACAGTCTGCAGCTCAGATTAAACATGAGCTCAGCCATAAATAGATGAATCAAGCTCTGCTCCTGTGCCTCAGAGAGAAGGAAGCACACCTTATAGAATGATGCACAGAAAACTC